GGAGGGGTGAGGCGGCTCCGGGCCGGAGTATCCCGGCGGCGGCGGCGGGCGGGGGAGGGGGCGGGGGTGCAGGGGCGGCCCCGCGGGCTGGGGGGGCGCGGGCGACGCAGCAGGGTCCCGGGCGGGGCGCAGCGGGCCGCGGGGCTCCAGGCGCGCTCTCCGCACTACTCCAGTGCCATGGTGCGCCCGAGGAGCCGCTCGGTTTAGAGCTGGGGCTGGCGGCGGAGGGATACTCCGGCCCGGAGCCGCCTCACCCCTCCTCAAACTTCCTGACATTTGAACTCATTGGTGCGCCTCGTATCACTGCGCCGGGATGAGCCGGCTGCTCCACGTCAAATAGTGCCGTCGCCTCCCCCCTCCCTGCGGGAGGGCTCCCTGAGCCCCCGGCCTCCACCCGGAGCCGCGCCCTGAACCCAGACAGCCATCCTGCCCACCCTTGGCAGAAGTTTGGTTAGCCATGGAAACAAATCCTGTGCCCCACCCCTCTTGAAAAATTGATTTGGGAGTTGGGGAAATCAGGTTTGCTTTTTTTTCTTGCCTTTCTTATTATTAATATTTTTGTTTTTTTTTTAAAGCTCCAACGCTCAGAGGAGTGGCCCCGAGCGAGGCCAGACTGTGCAGACGGCGGGGAACTCAGTGACTTCTCCAGGGGACGGCGCCAGGCTGGAGCGGCTGCCCCAAACCCGGGCTTGTAGGCTAAGGTAGGTCGCAGGGTCTGACTTAGTGTCCCCTCGAGAGGCGGGGCCTGCACTGGACAGCCTGGAGCGCAGAGAGGGCTCTTAGGTCGAGGGATGGGGAACATCAAATGAGAGAAGGGACCGCTGGCCCCGGACTCGCCAAAGGGAGCTCTGACCTGGAGAGGGGATGCAGGGGTTGTAGTTTGAGTGAGAGGTCCCGAAAAGCCCAGGCATGGCAGAAATAGGGCTGAGGAGTGAGCTGAAGGGGCCCCCAGATCCAGAATGGGGGCAGATCACATTGGGTGAACGAGCATGGTCAGGCCCGGGTTGAGACCAAGAGACTGTTAAGAGAGGATCAACAGGGCTCGGAAAGGGATCTCGTTCCCGGAAGGGGTCAGTGGGCGAAGGTTGGGACTGCCAGAGCTTGGACTATGAGGGGCAGGTAAGAAATGGTGGCCCCAAGATCTAGGGGTGGAGGCCTGGAACGGCGCGGTCGTTCTAAGGAAATCCGTGTGACCTCTGAAATCGGTGCCCTTTCATTGCGACTAAGGGGCCTGGCTAGGGTTAGAGACTGAGGGCTGGCCAACCTGGGCAAAGTGGGCCTCGACAGCGGGCAACGCAAGGCCAGCAGCATGCAGCTGGCGACTCCTGGGTGCATCGGGTCAGACATTCGCGAGGAAACTAGAAGACGTCGCGTCGGGACACAGGGAACCGACGCTTCGGCCCCACCACTCCCGCGGGAGTTTCGTCCTGGAATAGCAGGAGGGATGGTGCGGTCCCAGGGCAGGAGCTAGCTGCCCCCCGTGAGCCGATGCTGGGCGGCTCTGGCCCCTCCGGCTGTTGAGCAGCAGCGCGGAGCCGGGCGGGGATGGAGGGCTCGGAGGGCGGGTCCCCTGACCCCGCTGGAGGCGAGAGGGCGGATCGGATTTGGAGCCTGCAGGAGGCTTGGTCAGAAGTGGCCCCCTGTGCTGGGGGGGGGGGGCGGAGGGGTCCGGCTTTGTGGAGGATTAGCGGTCACCGCCCCACCCCAGTACCTGCGTGTGTGTCGGTGGGTATCCGAGTGTGTCTGTGCGTGTCGGCGCTCCGGGCTCGGAGGTTATTGAGTACCAGTGCACCCGTGTTTCTGTGCACATACATTTTGTGTTTGTGTGTCCTTGAGACCTTTCCAGGCAGTGAATGTCTGTGTGTTGCATGCATGTCTGCGGAACCTCTCGTGCTTCTATGTCATGTTTTTGCACGTCTTTGTGTGTGTCCTCGTGTCTGTGTCACAGCGAAGATGTCTACGCCTTTGTATGAGCCTCGGCCCCTGTAGTGTGTCTGGTAGATTTTTCTCTACAAGTGTGTCTCCGAGTTACCTTTGTTTTTCTGTTTGCCCCCCGCCCCCGCTCCTGAATTGTTCTGTGTCGCCCAGGGGTTTTTGTGTTTGTGGCTTTGTGTTCTGTGTATTTCTTCTTTCGCCTTTGTGTGTCTGTATCCGGGAGCATGGGTATGTGGATGCAGAGTTTTCTTCACCCACCCTTCGTCAGCTTGTTTTTACCCAGTGTGGGAAATCTAAGGCCTTGAGCCCTGAGGTTGGGCAGAGGCCTGGGCCTCGACCGCCTTTTCTGGGTATCTGGGCCCCGGAGAGTCGCTGCGGGAAGAAGCCGAGCGGGTAAGGCTGGGGAGTGCAGAGCCGGGAGGCGCCGAACCGCGAGCAGAGGCAGCGGGCCGACCGGGTGCACTCCGCCCTCTGCTGGCCATAGTGTGTCTCTGCAACCACCGCTGGGCACCGAAAGCCCCGGTTCCAGACCTTTGCCATCTCCTTCACGCTGAATCGAAGTACCTTCTCTGTCTCAAGCCCTAAAGACGCACCTCAGACTCTAAGCAATCCGCGCAGTGTTCCACCCCCATCTTCACCCTCCCATTCCCCAACCCCCCCCCCCCCCCCCCCGCTCCTGTGCCTGACCATTTCTACTCCATCCCTCTCCGTTTCTCTTTGGCTGAATGGAGGCCCCTGTGACCCGGCCTCTGAGGCTTCCCTGATCCTCTGGCTGGAGTCCAAGACAGGGCCTGGACCTTTGGCTGTATTTGCTGCGCGTTCTGCAGTGCTTGAAGCCTGGGCAGCGCCAAGGGCACACCTGTAAGGGCCGCCCCCCGCGCATTTGATGCATGGCTGGTGTGTTTTCCAAGGAGCAGAGTTTTGGGGGTCGCTCCCTGCGCCCCTGTTCAGGCTGCAGCCCTGTACCGGGCCCACTCAGGTCAGGCTGCCGGAACCGTCGGGAACTGAGTCCAGCGCTCCCTTGGTGAACGGTGAAACCGGGATTGTCTCTAGTCTTATTGAGGATGCTCCGTTAACAACCTTGATCCCTTTTGCTTGTCTCCTTCTGTCCATTTCCCTCGACCCGTAGGCCTTGGTCCTTGTTCTTTGTCCTTACTTCTTCAACCTGAGTTGTGTATCCCGGGTCTTCACATTGCCCCGCACAGTCGTCCGTGTGTCTCCGAAGCATCCTTAGGGTTCTTGGTCTCCCATCCTTTGCCGCTGAGGAAGAATAATGCGACTGGACAGGAGAACAACGGCCTAGGCCTGGAACCCACTTCTCTCCGCGGGCCTCAAGCTCCTGGCTCTGTCTGCTTCTGTACAAGCCGATGCCCACCTCGGCTCTGAGACTCACAACGCTGGTAGCATATCACTCCCGTGCGCGCCGCCCAACGCGGGATGCTTGTGGTCTCCGACGTCTGTTGCAGAATCCACTCGGGATTGTTTCCACCTGAGCAAAGAGGAGGCGGGCTGCCAGCAACCGGCTGGAATCGCAAGAAACAAAACAGGGAGAGATTCGGTCTCTTCTTATCCTGAGCCTTGACTTAATCTCTAGCTCTTCTCCTTTAGGACTTTGCAATCTCACTCGGTAGTGACCTGTCTCGTGCAAGCGCATGAGCGGGTTGGGTGGGGGGCGGTGGGAGGGGAAGGGCTACACCAACGAAAACCCAACCGTTTGGTTCTTTTGACCAAGAGTCCGGGAGAGAGAGGACCCTCCCTCCAGGTTTAGAACCAGGGGCTGGAGTATCAGATCCCAGCAGGAGGAGGACCAGACACAGCCTTGGATTCATCAGCAAGAAGAATATCAGAAGCATCCAGCACCGGCCTTCCTGCTCTGCCTCAAGAGTGGAGGCCATGGTGCACCTAGGCCCACCCATGCTGTTCCAGACTAATGGAGTCTCAAGATCTACGAGGCCCCCTCGTGCAGAATCAAAGCTGTCTCAAGCTGTGGGCCAAGTCGGGAGCTGCTCTCCCGGAGAAACTCAGTCTACTCCAGGTCCACGGTGACGGTGAACCCGAAGACCACAGAAATGGAGCAAGGGAGTGCCCAAGGCTCAGCAGAGGTCGATCGTTGGCACTTCAACCCTCGAGCATCCTGGTACCCCTCCGAGCATCTTCACCCAGGACACAGGAGTCACAGCACTGGAAGGGGATCCGAGGTCTCCCTGTGCTGGTGGAAGTTCTCCAGAAAGGCGAGACTGGAGAGGGACTCCTGAGGTGCTTCTTATTCTCCACTGGAGGCTTTTGAGGCTGATGAGAGAGGGGCGCCAGGGTTTGCCGATAGCCAGTGTGTGTTTGGATGCCCAGAGCCGGAAGATGAACATTCGCAGCCAAATCCCTCGGCCCTCCAACAACCGGCACTCTGGCCATCACTCTGGACCATTAGTCACGGGCTTGCCCCACGTGTGTAGAAATCAGGCTCCCTCAGATCCAAAGGCTGCCGGCAGCCTTTGGGAAGGTTT